GACATGTTAATAAATACCATAATTTATTCATTTAATAAGTGGTATAGTTGTAAATTTATGCAATTTATATACTCTACATATCTTACTCATTTACTTCAAAATTCATGAAATTGCTGAAATTATTTGCAGAAACGTTTAAGCTAGGAAAGCTTACAATTCAAAATCACAACAAAAATTAAATATTCATGTATATACATCTATTGGAAAAATAGACAACTGCAATAACCAAAAATTGCACACTACTTTTTAAATAAACAGAATGCATATACAGCACGTTCATAAAAAAATTTACATTCCAAATTTCTTTTAAAAAATTTCTCAAATTGATGTTTGGACTTGGATGGAAGGATTTTTATTTAGTATTAAAAACTATGTTCGGAATTTTAATGCACCGATGAAAATTATGTTTTACTAAGTAAAAACCACATGATTAAAAAATTATGCAGCCAGAACTAAAAGTAACATTTAATTGCCATAAATGCTATATTTCTAAATGAAATAGCTAATTAACAGAATATACTGCTCTCTTTTTCTTAATTATCTTACCAAAAAAAGTTAACTAGCACAGAGTCATATAGTTGCACTTTATACTTTCATGTCTATACGCATTACAATAATAAAAATTTTTTCCAAATATATATAATATATAACACACAAGAATAATTTGTTCAAAAATATGAATATTAATTCTTTTTATTAATCTTTAAAAATAAATGATTTCGAAACTTTTTTCACTTCTAAAGTCAATAAAAGCTATGAATTTTTAAACTTCTATATCCTTTTAAAAAAATTTCTTGTCAGTTACAAAGTTCCACTGTCAGTTCTGAAATTGCTGTGCGAAATACGCCTAATTGTCAATGAAATTTTTTTGTTCACTAACATCTGTCCATCTTCATGCCTTTATCCATTTTTTTGCAGCAATTCCACTTTTTGTTTGATGGACATCAAAACACGCCTTCGCTTTGTAGATCCTTCGGCAGCTCCAGAATTCGAAAATTCTTTTTGACATAATCGAAAGTTCAAGCTTACTTTTATAAAATTGCTCTAACAGGTCTGCAAAAAATAATAAGCCTGGATCCAATTAGAAGATTAAGGAACAATGCAATCTGCAACATTAACTGAAATAGATAATTTTAGCTTAGCTTATACCGTCCGTTATACATTAAACGCGCATGCGTAAAGTATTATGCGCATGCGTAAATGCATATGCGTTTACAGCATGCGCAGAAAAGTTTGTAGCTTTGAGGTCCGGATTATAGATCATTCGGATTATGGATGTCGTATTAAGACTTGTACTGTAAGACATATGGAAGAGAAACAGCCAATAAAAAAAAAAAATACGAGGGACAGGGGAACATAAAATGACGCTTATCGGAAGATTTTTGGGCAGAGTTGAAACACAGGTAACAAGTCAGAAAAAATATCTAAAGTCTATCCCTTAAGAAAAACTGGTTAATCTCAGATTATGTTACTGGGATTTGGAGACCATCATGCGCCAGCACCTGCTGTTTTTTTTTTTCGAAACTAAGGCTTTTTTTTTTTGTACTCACCATTTTTTTCACAATCTGCTAGCGAATTAAGCTTAGCTGAATTTTATGGAACAAAAGTTAATCTGTAAGATAGGTGCGAAATGGGAGAAAGTGCAGAATCGCCCATGATTGCGTTTTTAAGAATTGCAATACACGTAATTCCATATACACTTCGACCTATTTTCACTTAAAAAATCATCCCAGAATTGCACAAAAATAGCATGCGCACACTCTGACTTTATCCATGTACATGCTAATGTCGAGGTAGCAACCTATGCCTTCCAAAATTCGCAAATACCTGTTACCATATCCAAAGATTAGCCGAAAAACTTAGCTGAAATCAATCTGTTTCATTCTTATTTTTGAATTCATGCTTCTTATAAGATATTAGCAACTTTTGATTCATTGTATTTTATTTTTATAAGTGTTATTGAAAAGATCTACAATAGGAAAAGACTAGGTAATCGCTGATCTTTGGTATATGGTAACTGGTAGTTGGCGAATTTGGAGGCGTTAAGGTTACTACTAGGACTTTGGTAATAATGTGATAGTACTCAGTTCCGATTAGCATTATTTTGTGCGAGGGAAATGAAGATCATGGATATGTCATGTGACATTAATGGACGAATTACAGTTCTTAAGGAAAGGGGGGAATCTGAAAAAATATCTGCAGTACTTTAGCATTTTGTATTAGCTCATTCTGTGTTGGTGAAACAGTGTTTGTAATTTGGATCCAGGACATCTAAAGTGAATCGAATGGGTATTTGGGATGAAAGGGTAGTAATAGTGTTTTTTAAGGTTGTGCGAGAAGAAGGTAGTAATTAGTATTTTAATATTTGAGGATTTATTTTTATGCATTGTTCTAAATGTAAGGGTAAATTAAGTAATATGGTTTTAGAAATTTTATGACAATGATTTAGTTTAAAGTAATTAGGATTGTAGCTAATTTTATTAATTAATGTATGTGTTATTTATATTTAGTAGTGTTTTGAATTAATTATATTTAAAATGTAGTATTTTGTGAATATATGTTGTAGGAATTGGTATAGTTTCAGTGGAAGTAACGTAGATGGAAATATTTAAATTTTGAAATAATTTAAATTTTTGAATTCATTCATTTCTATTAAGATATTAGAACTTTGATTTCATTGTTTTTTATTTTTATAAGTGATTATTGAAAAGATCTACAATAGGAAATAGACAGGTAATTAGTGATCTTGGAATATGGTAACTGGTAGTTGGCGACGATAAAGGTTACTACCTAGGACTTGGTAATAATTGAGAGTACTAGTTCCGATTACGCATATTTGTCGAGGGAAAAATGATAAGATCTGAGATATGTATGGACATTAATGGAGAAGTACAGTTCTTAATTGGAAAAGGGGGGAATTCTGAAAAATTCTGCGTACTTTATAGAATTTTTATTTAGCTCGTGTTTGTTAATTTGGATCCCATACCCTATCTAAAGAATTCGAAATGGGGATTTAGTGGGATGAAAGGGGTAGTAATAAGTGTTTTTAAGTTGTGCGAGAAGATTAGAAAGTTAGTATTTTATTTTGAGAAGATGCTTGTTCTAAATGTAAGGAGTAATTAATTAAATGGTTATTATTGGAAATTTGTATTAACAAGATTTAGTTTAAAGTAATTAGGTTGTAGCTAATTTTTATTAATTTAATGTATGTGCTCATGTATATTTAAGTAGTGTTTTTGAATTTAATTATATTTTAATCAATGATAGTTATTTTGTGAATTAATGTTTGTAGGATTTGGTATACGTTTAGGGAATAAATGTGGATGGAAATAATTTAAATATTTGACACTAGTATGTAATATTTGTAATGTTTGCGGTATGAATTCGTTGGTGACGTGTATAATGTAATAGATGATTTAGAGGTAAAAGTTTTTGGATATTTTATACGTGGAAATGTTCATTTGGAAAGGGTAATACTTTTTCGCGATCAGGTAATTTCATATATGTTCTTTTTACCGGATTAAAGATGAGAAAATTGTCATGTATTTTCGTGAAATTTTTCTAATTTATGAGAAAAAAGCAGTGTACATGGATATAGTGAAGAGTGTGCGCAATGCCATTTTGTGCAATTCTGGGATTTTTTTAAGTAAAAATAAGTCGACGTGTACATGGTTTAGTGATATTTTAATGAAATGATAGTATTTTGTGAATTTTATTTGTAGGAATTTGGTTACGTTTAAGTTGATGTAAACGTGCATGGAAATAATTTAAATATTTGACACTAAGTATTTCATTTGTATGCTTGCAGTATGAATTCGTTGGTGACGTTTATAATGTAATAGAAATTTAGAGGTAAAGTTTTTGGATATTTTATTTATTTTATATGTGGAAATGTTCATATTTGTAAAGGTAAATACTTTTTCGCGATCATGTAATTTCATATATGTTCTTTTTACCGGTTTAAAGATTGACAAAATTTCATGTTTTTGTGAAATTTTTCGAATTTATGAGAAAAAGCAGTGTACATGATAAGTGAAGAGTGTGCGCAATGCCATTTTTGTGCAATTCTGGGATTTTTTTAAGTAAAAATAAGTCGAGTGTACATGGTTTATGTGTATGTGTTATTCGGAAAAAACGCGTAAGGAGTTTGGATTGTGCACTTTTTCCCAATTTTGCAGTAATATTTGTCATGATTAAGCAGTTTTGTTACATAAAATTTCTAGCATAATGTAATTCGGCTAGTAGAGTGTTGGAAAAAGTGTTCAGTAGATAAAAAGAAAAGAAACATGGTCTTTACTTCGTGAAGACAAAATGGCGGGAAAAAAAAATAGAGGGTTGCTGTAGAGAGTTGGTCGCCAAATTTTCGCCAAAAAATCGCCAAGTTACCATAATCCAAAGATCAACCTGTAATTCTAATGCATATACTTAAGGCACATGTTATGGACTGACACAATGACTGATTTTTAAGGACTAAATATACATGCAAATTTAAAATTTAAACCCAAAACTCAGCAATTTCAAATGAAAATTTAGAATTAAATATAAATTCTTATAAAAGCATCATTTTATATTAAAATGTTTCAGTATTACTGATGTTTCTAATATTACAGCCGTTGGTATCCTTAATATCTTACAATGGAAGGTATTAAAAAAATTAACATTCCAATATTTATTAAAAATTGATTACAAAAGCTAAAATATTAAAACATTAAAACATAGCCTGATGAAATTGATAAAATTTTAGCAGCATAAAATATTCTATGACACTAATTAATATTATGAGAGAAAATTGGCTTTACCCAGATGTTTCCGAATTCTGCTATTCAGTAATTTAGAACAACTATTCCATGAACTAGATATACTATTACACTTAATTTAAGAGTTTGGGAACGTTATTCAAGGTCTTGGGAATAGTTTTCAATTAACTGATATACATTTATCTTTAATAAAAACATCATTCTACTAGTAAGTATCACGCATAAGAAAAATTTATAAATCACCTCGTTTCTGCAGAAATTTGCACAGATTGTTTCATAATTGATTGATTTCTTAATTTCGGCCTTAACACGACTTGTTATAAGTACCGTGATATCCGGCATAACTTTGAAACAAATATTGTTCACATGTTTTTCCTTGAATAACAAAAGACCTTACTTGTTGACATCAAGAAAAGAGAATTCAGGAAAACTCAGATAAGCGGCGGCACAATTTTTTTCGCCATCTTCAATCGCGAAAAATCGCCATATCCTCGGGAGGAATTTTTTGACGCCAAGAGGAAAATGGCATCAAAAGAAGCTTTCCAGAATTTCCCCTCTTCAGACCACTCTGCTGGGCGAAAATCGCGTAAGGCAAAAGTGCAGAAAAATAAAGGGGCCCCTTTATTTTCCTTCTTTCTAGGTATTTCTTTCTCCTGATGAGGAGGGACCTTTAGCTGCCCTCGAAATCGATTGAGTGTTTCAATATACTTACGTTAAATAAGGTTGTTTT